TCTGGCTCCAGCCCCCACTTCACTCTTTCAGAAACCAGAGCAGCATATGGGAGTATTTGCCCCTTTCCCCAGAGATGGAGACGAGCAGATGACAGCCTGCGAGCATGTGTTAGTCCCACCAACACACGCTCCCGCCAGCTTCCCATTAAGGGCGGCAGTTGCTCCAGACCCAAATGTTAGCAGTTTTCAATTAGCAAATGGCAGAGGAGAGGGATTCCTGGGGGACACGCTAAGCAAATCAAGCTCTATCACTTGTCACTCAAGGAGCTCACGTTACCCTTCTCCCCGAGAGGCTCTGCTTAAAATAAAATCCTCCAGCAGCCCGGGGAGGGGAAGGCAGGCAGCCTGCCCGCTCTCGCTGCCGGAGCTGCCAAGAAGGGGATGGGTGCCGGATTTCTGGGGTTACCCTGAGGGATAACAGGTTACCCTGGTGTAACGGCCCGAGTTGCGACAGGGCTTTAGCTCCCGACACCTAAATAGCGAGGAAGCTTGTACCAGCGTACGTCGAGTGTGAACAACCACCACGGGGTCTTTTCCGAGGGACGCGACTACCTGGCAGCCTGCTCGGATGGCGGAGAGCACCGAGCTAAACTTTAACCAGCTCCCAGAGAGCCTGGAAACCCAACACGTAAAACCAAACGACAGCGGGTAACCGTACGGAGAGCAGCAGGGTGCACCGGGCACCTCTGAGCTGTCACGGGGGCGGCAGCCTGGGGCTGAGATGCTCCAAGGCTGGGTTTGCTGGGAGCTGCGACCCCCTCCCCAGGGCAGGATCTCCAAGCAGCCCCGCCGTCCATCTGGTTCTGCCACTAAGTCACAGCACGCCCTGGAGCCAGGCTCGCCTCCCAACAAGAGAAAGGCACTGCCCCAGACACCCACCCCAACACCCTGCGACCTGGCCCTGTCGAAAAAGCGTCCCCGGACACCGCTATGGGACCAGGGTCAGGCCAAACGGACGGGCCCTTGGCATCCGCGGGGCGATGGGACTCCCCGTGCCTCCCCCGCAGAAGGCGTAGGACACACCACTCCTGCAAGCTTAGAGAGCCTGCGTCTCCGATGACAGGCATAAAACAGAGCCAAGTTTTATCACTATTTACTGCTTCTCTTTGATGTTTTAAGAATTTTTCTTTCCTAACCTCACTGAAGAGCATCTCTGCTAATTAGCCGGGAGCTGACAAAGCCATCAGAAGGCGCTGGCTGTGCCGGCAGGACGGCTGGGAGGTGTCAGACCCTGCAAACAAAGATCCCCTCCTTTTCCCCTCTCCCTAACGAAAGCCCTCCCCGCACTCAACATCACAGCCAGGCGTTTGTCTCGCACAAAGGCGACACTCAACCTCCGGGCAGGATAATTCCCTTTGTGCGGGCGATATGTTCTCTGTCCCCCATGATGGGTCAGGCCTTGAACCCATCTGGGCTCGGGGAGGCCTCCTGCCTTCTTCCCCAACCTCTCCCTGCCCTATCCCTCTGCCTTGTATTTAACTTAAACTGGTGGGACAGAAAAAACAACGCTCTGGCTTCTAAAGAAGTGAAGGTGGAGCGTTTCGCCCCGGGGGAAAGGAGTGGGGAGAGTCCTCTCCCTGTTTCTGGGGACTCATCCCCGGGGAAGGCGGGGGGGGGTAAAAGGGGAGCGAGGCGGCTGGAGACGGACAGCAGCCACATCTTCTGCCAAGCCTCGTGGGAACGGGGATACGACCACGACAGAGGTGCCGGGATCAAACCAAATCAGCCCTGGGATCAGCAGGCGGTTTGGGCTGTTTCCGGCTGACAGCTTCAGCGGGATCTTAGCGAGCAGGGGAACAGGGACGGGCTTTCCCTGGGTGACAATGAAGAGAGGGGACCCGCACCGGCCAGGATGCACAGGACATGACCAGGCAGCCTCTTCCCCACATCACCTCCCCTACCCTTCCTTCCTTAGCAGGAAGAGCCACCGGGATGTGGCTGATCCACCACCAGCTCCACAGAATGCAGGAACAAAACAAGGATAAAGGGAGAAGCCCTGAGACCTGCAGTTTTCACCGGGAGCTTCTGCAGGGAAACAAAGCAGCAGACGTGAGGAATGCAACTGGCCTATTTGCCCGGGCTGCTCTCTGCCTCCGGCAGCGCGGACATGCCTCAGCTTGTCGTTTCAAGAGCTATTGTTGCTCGGGGCTGGGGGCCTCTTTGTTTCCTTTACCCTTTCGCCAGGCTTGGTCACAGCCTGGTATTAAATTATTCAAATCATCTCACTGGGCTTCACAGCTGAACTCCTGCACGGAGCGCGCAGGCTGCGAAATCCCGAGGGCTCCAGCCCTTGCCACAAGGCCCCATCCCAGCACAAAGCACACTGGTCCACACTGGTTCCCCCTGCCTGGAGCGAAGGGTCCCAATATTCGAGCCGGTGACACCTCCAGCCTCAGCACCGCCATGCAAAGGCATCATTAAGCCATAAAACATCCCACCTAACACCAGCACATCCCCCCCCCCCCCTCAGCACCGCCATGCAAAGGCATCATTAAGCCATAAAACATCCCACCTAACACCAGCACATCAGTGGGAACAGGGGGGCTGCCGGGGGGCTCACCCCTGGGTTTGGCAGCCCAGCTGGAGCAGGGAGAGCCGAGCTCCCCAGGCTGGATGTCCCCTGGAGCTGTGGCATTTTGGTGCCACCACTGACAAGACAAAGGGCGGCAGAGACCTCTGTCCTGCCTGCCTGCCGTCCCAGCCAGCCCTCAGCCCTGGCGAGGCTGTAGTAGGAACACCAGCCCCTTTTTATGGGCTGTGTTTGCATGTGGGGTGGGGTGTGGGGAGCCCCGAGAGTTGAGCATAACACAGCCAAGAGAAATCTGTTGCTGTAGAAGCTGGTGCTGCTGCCAGCCCCGCGCAGGGAGGTAGAGGCAGCGGCCCAGAGGGGCTTGGAGGCAATTTAACCCAGCCCTGCAATTACCCTGGTGTCCAGGTTGGTCTGGGACTGGAGAACACCTTCCCCTCCGCCGACACCGAGCTGCCGGAGCCGTCCCTGTAACCTGCAGCACAAGGTGAGTGCCAAGGGACCGGCAGAGCCTTTGAATTCGAGTCAGCTTCCTGGGATAGCAGCGTGTAACCGCTTGAAAAGGCAGCTCTACAAGAAACGAAAACGGCAGGGAAAAACCCATGCACCCACCCTGCCAGGAGCCAAACAGGGAGGCTGCGTCTGCAGCCAGGGCTGCGCACGCCTCTCCCCGCTGGACGGGACCTGCTCCCTTCCCCAGCCAGAGCCTGGGAGGAAAGAGCAGGAGACCTGCAGAAATTCATTACCTCTCACATGACAGAGGGATCAGTTGGCTTCTACCAGAGCCCGGCGAGGTTTCCCTCATTGAAAACAGGAAAGAATCACAAAAATAATTAGAGAGATTTCATCTCAGCCAGCTTATGAAAGCACTGACTTTATACACAACAGATTGGCAACAGCACAAAGATGGATGTGAAAGGCAAGAACATTTGCAACGTCAGACAGATCAGAGAGAGAAGCTCATCAAAAAATGGCCCAGGGCAGATGCAAGTTTAAAAAAAGAAAAGAGGAGGAAAAAAAGGAAAGGAAACGACCCTTCTGGAGATGAAAAATGTAGCTCCTGTCTGCGATACGGTGGTATGCCCCCTCCTGCCTGCAGAAAGGAACCCTGGTGAAAACTCATCATCTCCCTGGAGAGATCTGGGTTAAAAAGACTTCAAGCGCTGACAATTGCTCGCTGTGTTTTGCTGCCTTCTGCTAGCTCAGCTGGGAGCCAGTGAGCTGGTCAGCAGCAGGATTTAGGGGCCTGAGGACAAATGTCAGCTGGAGGATCCTCTGGTGAGCTCCTGGGGCCAGGGGAGGCTGTAATTGGAAAGCTCCAGGCAGCATTTCGGGAGAGCGACCCAGGCTGCGCCACGCAGAGAGGCTGCTCGCGCCGGGTTCGGCCGGCCGTGCAGGCCAGGACCCTCGCAAGCGTGATGAACATCTCAACCAACGGGCGAAACGTTTTAAGGGGGGGATGGGAAAGGACAGACATCTCTAATTAGAAAAGAGGTTTGCACTTAGTCACCCAGTGCAGTGCCTGGGGCCCTAACTCCAGACACCGCGCTGCAAAGGCTGACAGCTCTCTCAGACACCAAGCTGTCAGCCTGGGCTTTGTAACCAGAGACAGTTTCCACGGGGGAAAACAACCTCTGTGCTCCTCACCCTTCTACACGGGCACTTCCAGCAGGGAGGGGGAGAGCTCCAGCGCAACCCCGTGAAGGCAGCACCGGAGCTCCGGGGACATCCACCCCATGGCACGTCCAGGGCAGTAGCTCTCAGGCACTGGAGGTTCACAGCGACCCTTGTCGATTCGATAAGTGAGACCAGCTCCGGTTCCATGGGAACCATCGTTAGGAGCTCCCTGTTTCCAGATCGCTGCCTTCAGAGCGCAGCTGAGGAGCTCCCGAGCCTGGGGGACGCAGGTCCGAGCCAGGCCGTAGCGGGCAGCAGCGAGAGGACAGGCATGCCGGGCGGCTGGGGCGAGCCCCAGCATGTATATGACGAGGCTGGATGTGGCCCCTCTGAAATCAGGCTCACTGCGAAGGCGACTCTTCCATGGCAGCTGAAACACAAAGACCAAGAATAAGCCATAAGCCGCCATCTCGATGCAGCTACAGGGAGCAGTACCCTGCCCCACACAGGCCAGATACCCAACAGATGGGCACCACGATCCCTGTCCTGCTACCCCAGGAAGCCACTGCAGGGCCTCAGTAGTGGCACACGCAGGAGGCAATGCCCAGCACACAGAGCCCCCGAAGGAGGCAATGCAGCCTCTTGAGGTTTGTGCCCTCCTCCTCCTCTCCAGCATGCCTGGCTTCTCCCAGTTATTCCTGTGTTTGCACTGGGACTGAGAGAAGGGCGCAGCAGTGGCCGCACAATAAAGTGGGCAGAAGCCCAAGCCAGTCAAAAACAGTGTTGGCCGCACGGGAGGAAACCGCAGAGCGGTGCAGAACTGCCACCCCAAAGGTGGGGCACTGCTCGCCTGCGCCAGCAGCCTCTCCAGGCCAGATCACAGCCAGAGCTGACAGCAGCAATGACATCACACGTGTCACCGGCTCTCGTGTTCTCGCTGGAGAGGTTTCCAGGCAGACTGAGCTGCGTGAAAGCCCAAAGTCAGATCTCAGCTTTTTTGCGGCACTCTCGATGCTTTTTGCACCCTGAGGTTACCGAGGGATGCTGGAGCAGGCGAGGCTGCTGCCCTGACACCGCTGCTGCTGAGTTGTATTACAAGTTGAAATATAAGTTGAAATACAAGTTGAAATACATGTATTTCCAGTACCAGGCCAGGCGGGTGAAGGTTTCGGACTGGGCAGTGCAGAGGGACAGCAGTGGGGCTCAGTGCTGCAGGTGGGAGCCCACAAACCAGCTGCCACGGAGCGCAGGGGGACTCTGGCAGCGGAAGGGGAGAGCAGCCTGCAGCCTTCCTTGCAGAAACAAAACCCTTTCACTCCCATGACAAATGCCCTACTTGTTCCCGAGCCCGGGGACTTGGCTGTTCCTTGTCCCCTTCACGTGGCAGCGCACATCACGCGAGAGCTCGGCCCTTGCAGGGGAGGAACGGGAGCCGCTGCGTTGGGGCAGTGAGCTGGGCCTCCTCCCCTCTGGGGTGTAATTAGCCTCCTTGAAGTGGGCTGGGACTGGAATCCCTCAGCCCAGCGCTGAGGCTATAATCAGCCCGGCAGAGGAGGAAGAAAGGCCCCTCCAGCAGTCTGGGCCAGGCTCCCATCGCACATCCAGGCAACGGAAGGGCAGGTCACGCCATGGGCACGTTTTAGCCGCACAACGATGCTGCCTTTGGCCCCAGCAGAGAGGAACCACAAAACCATCGCTATCTTTTCCAAACCACAATGGAAAGCCAGCAGCCAAAATGACGCCTCAAATCTCAGCTTCTATTTCAGCAGCATCAATTAGAGAGCTGCTCTTTTTGGATACTTGGTCAACCGCCAGCACACCAGCTCCCCGCCAGCCGCAGCTTGGCCAGCCCACCTCTCTGGCAGTGCACGAGACCGCCTCTGCCGTCCCTTTGCTCCCCTAGCCCAGTGGAAGCAGCAGCGTCACAGAGCTGCAGAGCAGAAGGGCAATTTTTATGGGCTTCAAGCTATTTCTATTCATCTATGGCTCTAGAGAGACTAGAATAACACAGAGCTTACATGCCAGGGTTATTTGGTACAGCTCCGGTCACAAGGTATTGTGTCTGGCTGGACCCTTATAGCAGGAATCAGTAACGAAGCCCCTACTCACGTTTTACAGCCAGCAACGTGTTCCCGTGGCAGCAGGCTACAGAGGTCACCACGTAGGGATGTGTCTCCTCCAGCTGCACCGGCCTCGGTGCTCCCGTTTCCTCATCCTTCCTGCCCAGGCGTCCCCTGGCTCCTTTTCCCCATGTACACACCTCGCCGTCTGCAGAGGGAATATATACACCTTGCTGCACCCAGAGCTCACCAGCAAACAGACCTCCCATCTCCCTGGTACTGCCCTGGGCTACCTCCAAGGCCTGCCTTGGCCACAGCGTGGACTGCAGGCAGAGGAAAGCCAGGGCTTGCTGCAGCCCAGGACACAGGGGCTTCAGCATCACCTGCTCCGATGGCCACAGTGAAAGCATCCCCACAAGCCACCACGGTGACCTTCATCGCCTGGAGCCCCACAACCAGGTGGGGTACGCGGCTGTTGCGGCAGGAGTTGGTGCCCAGCTGCCCGTGCTGGTTGCTCCCAAAGGTGTAACACTGGCCAGAAGCTGACAACAGAGACGAGAGAAACAACTGGGTGTCACCCGAGGAGGCACTGAAGCCCCTGAAGCTCTTTGCTCTCTACCGTGCTGAGCATTCTGCTCCAACATCAGGAGCAGGGTTGCCTCTTGAGCCTCTCTGAGGCCTCTGACCACGGGAAACGGAGGCAGGAGGAAGACAGCGAAAATGCAGGTCCCCCCCTCAGGGATTTGGGCACAGACCCCTCACCTGTGACTGCAGCCGAGTGCGCTGTACCGATGTCAGCACACACGATCGGCTCTCGGTTTAAGGGGGCTGACTGGGCACACATGAACACGGTGGCCTCTTCCAGCTGGTCCTCTGGGGAAGGCTCCTCTGCTGAGCTGATCCGATCCAGACCCAGCTTGTTACACCTGCATGGGGAAAAGCGCAGTTCAGAGCCAGCTGAATGCAGCCTGGCGCAGACACCCCGGAGAGAAACCCTGCCCTAGCATAACCGCAGCACCAGCAGCATGATGCTGGGGAGTAGGATCACACAGAGATGTCTTCTAGAGCCCCTTGCTCCTTCTTCCTGGGCTGGACACAGATGGACAGGTCCAGGAGGCTGTAGGAGCACAGACCCTCACCCCTCTTACCTGTTACTCCCACAAGCAAGAATCTGGTTCTTCACTGTGAGGACCATAGAGGAGTCGATGCCGCAGATGACCCTCTGAGCCTCATGCTCCGGCGGGACTGAGACCTGCTGAGGGGAGTTGTGGCACTCCAGCGTACCCAGCCCAAGCCGACCTGGGAGAAGGAACAAAGCAGGACATGGCTGATGGCAGCACACAACCTGAGCACAGCCCCACGAACAACATCATCGACACAGCTGCTGCAAGAGCCCAGCCTGGGACCTATCACCACAGAAGGCAGAGAAACCCAAAGCACGGGGGCCCTGGTATGCGGTGAAGCAGCTGTAACTCTTCTCCACCCACCTAGCCTGGCACATCTGGAGAGGACTGCAGGCAAGCAGGGCCAGCGAGGGGAGTGGGAACAGGCAACGGAAAGCACAAGCCCGGTTTTGCAAAGCACACATCTCTTACCATTATCCCCCCTGCCCCAGGCAAACACTTCCCGTTCGTTGGAAACTGCCAGGACGTGAGAT